ATGTAGAGTCATTAAAAGAAAAGAAACCGTATGTTTTCCCAGGGAATGGTTGTCAGATCTCTTATGACTGTTTTGTAGATTACCACTTCACGTAAACTAACAAAATGGTTATTGGATTTAAAAGGTATTCTCTGTAAGTAAATGTCACTGTTAAATACCTCAGCTATTATGTTTGTGTTTGCATTACTTTAGGGATTTAGATGGCACCATTTGCATATTTTATCCAATTCTCTAATGTTCACTTTGTGAGTTAAAATCAAGATAAATTGCATAAATGGAACAGCTTGCTGGCTGTGGATAAGCTGATTTAAACTACTGTACATGGGATGAAATGTAAGGCGCTTTGTTATTCGGAAGACACATACACAGTATGCTTTGTTTGTTGAGGTAACATGTTTAATAGTGTGTAAGTTTTAGTTTGAAATTAAAGCAGAGTCTATAGAAATATAGCTAACACTGACATCTTTGCCTTGGGAGGGGAAGGCTAAAAATGTATGTTTATTTGTGTCAGGTGTCCCAGGAGCGTGTGTGCAAATAATTTTGCTGTATAACATCCTCTCAAAATTTGTATTTATGTGCTTCAAACTCACCCCAGATGTTTTGAGGTATTTAATTACATGGTGTTCTCTTGCCCCTTCTCTTCTCTCCATCTAATGTGCACAAGGTTTTCATCTAACAGCATGATGTACCTTTCCTTGTTGTCCCTAAAGGAGGTCTAGCCAGCCCAGGAATGGTTGGCAAAGCCTGACCTGTGGCATTCAGAAGTTCCTCTCTGATAGTCTACCTAGAAATCTGTTCTTTCACCTTCAAATTTCACCTTTAAAGTTTTTTAAGAGATTGACTTTTGGTCCCCTAAGTTGATGTTTTATTTTTAAATGCTTACCTAATGTGCATTTTTTGATACTAAGCGTCTCCCACAGGTCTAATCTTCCTGTTTGTAATTTTCATGGGTCTTAAGGGAGACCATTTTTGCCTATCCTTGTAAAACAAAGTGGAGGGACACGATCAATTACTACCCTCACATCTATTTAACTTGAAATCCTTTTCTCTTCTCAAATATTTTGTTGTGTCCCCTCATTTGTCTGCCTTTGGTTCATTGACCACCAAATAACTGCTGAGTTTTCTTCTCCTGTGAGTATGTGAGTTAAGATAAATTTTTTGTATAATGGCACCACATTTTTCAGCTAAGTCTGCCTTCCTTGCATGTCTAGAGTAAAGGTGTAATCTGTTTATGAGCTGTTAAGAAACTTGTCTACAAGGGTGTTCCTTTGAGATGTGTTAGGCTACCATGAAGATCCATGGTTACTTTTATGTGCTAGTAGTCCCCGAACTGGGGATTGTGAGCTTCTCTGTGGATTTTCTGTGATTAGAAATTAGAATAGTCTTAAAAGCTGCATGGAAGCTTAAACTGATATATTTATGTAATGCTATTCTACATGTGGTGCAGCAGGTCAGCATGCTCTATAGCAACTTCTCCATTTGTGTAAACCCTGGGTACGGTACAGGGTTCACAGTACAGAGGGACTGGAGGGGTAGATTGAAGGCAGGCAGTGGTTTTGTAAGAAGGAGAAAAGTTAGGAAGCATGTAGATAAAAAGGGCATCAAACTGCAGTAGCCATTGCCCCTTAAACTCTCTCTCTCCCTGCATTCTTCCTTCCCTCCTCACAGATTTTGTTAGCAAACTGCAGGGCAGAACAACTTTACAAATGTACTCTAAGAGGCTGCTTGTCTTCCCTATCCCACCAAGGGAGAGTGAGCGAGGGGCTGTGTGGGGCTTAGTTGCTGGCCAGGGTTAAACCACAACAAATTGTTAGTTATGAAGTGTGGGTTGTGTTGTGAATGATAATACAGAAATAATATTTTTCTCCCACATCTGCCTTAATAATGTATTTTACTGGTTTATTCTCTGTCACACTCAAGTGTAAGTGTAATCGAATGAGTACTCTTCTGTGTAAACGCACAGGGAAAGTGTTGAGAAATTAGATTCTGAACTACCAGGATGCTCAAAAATAAGCAAAATGCATTTTTTGTAACAAGAGCTCTGGCACTGGTTCTTTTGCAAGACAATTTTGGTTATGTCAGAGAGCACGAAGTGTCTGGCATTGAGGCAGGCTCTGTCCCTGGCTGCACACTGAGTTGCCTATTGCTTGTATGCAGGCCTGCCAGCATAAGTATGTATGGACAAGTACATCACATGGATAGGATGTGCATGGATGAAGAGGCAGCAAAGTTTTTTTTCCTTCATTTGTTCTGTAATGTAATAATGCATTTTTTTCACAATATTTTTCTGTATAAAAAACACAGGAACTTACAGAATTGTTCTTCACACTGTTTGTTAGGAATCACTTAACATCAGTCTCTCCTTCATACCCACTTTAAAATTGCCAGTGGGAATGCCCTGACGGGGGGGAGGCAAGACCACACCATCTGAGAGTGGCTACTGCTCTTGTGACAAGGGATGGCAGCCAGCTGCCTTTGCATTTTCTTATAGCACTAGCAGGGAAGGATTAGGGCATTGCTTTCTGCTTTGCATTTCTCTCCTGGGAAGGGAAGCAGACTCTCCACAGTACTGGAGAGGAAGGTCAAAGTGCTAGTGGCTTCTGTCCTTCTTCAGACAGGTTTTCACGTAGATAGCGCAAGTGTATTTTCCATTGCACATTTGCCATGGATTTCACTAGGAGGACCTTCACTAACCTTGAACATCATCAGAATTATGAGTTATTGCCACTCAATCATCTAGCTGCTGCTGTTAAACATTAAAAATCAGGGAATAGCCTATTTTTTGTCTGCACAGTAAACTGAAAGCCCTTCAGGCCAACCTAAACTGCGCTGCAATTGGAAATGAAGAATTGGAAATGAACAGGTTGGTGCTGCTGAGCTGTTCCAGGCAATGCCAGTGCCAGTGGCGGCTGCCTGTGCTGACAAGATGGCTGGAGCCTACAAACCAGTCTCACTGCAGGAAAGGGGACTGTACAGAAATCCAGAGCTACTTCTGCAGTGAAAGCTACCTTTTGTGCCATGGATTTAACCCAGGGCCTTATGAGGTCAGCAGAAGTGTTTCTGTGGGGATTAGAGTCAGGTCTCTGTCACAGAGAATTGTCTTTTCAATAGTGTCTGGGTTACTTTTAAGTGCTGTGTTTCAGTAAATGTACAGCAGACAGAGGATGAGCTTTGCTGAGCATGGCAGAGCTGGGCAGTGTCCCGTTTTGGCTCCTCTGGGTGAAGCTCTGTGAAACAAAGCACTGCCGTAGGGTCACAGAGGTGCTCCTCTTAGGGATGTGGTTTCCCTGCCGCAGAGCAGGGCTGCCAGCCCTCCTCCAGCCAGCCTGGAGCAATGGGCCCTGCCTAAAAAATAAACCAATTAGCCTTTTAAAAGGTCCTTCTCATTTCTGTAATCCTTTTCGTAGAAGGAATTTGCTGAAGCAGCAGGATCTGTGGCTCTGCTCTTTTCACCCTCCACGCCACAGTCCTGCAGGGAATTCACCTGGTTACAGACTGCTAAGATGAACATCTCTGCTATGAGATTAATTGATTGCAACTGCAAGTGTCTGTTATCGCCATGTTGTTTAAACACAGGAAGGGGAGAGAGACAAAAAATACAACATAAATAGAAACTATTGATCTTAATTTCTATTTATTTTCATATGCTTAGTGAAAAAGCACACCTATGCTGAAAAACATTATAAATGTAATCAGATGTTCTCTGTAGCAGGTTGAAGTAAAAATGTGCAATGATGTTATGCTTAAAGAGCATTTAGAGCATTTGACAGGTTTTTTTAAATGATTTTTCTGTTTACCCTTTAATTATTCTCATCACTTTAATTTACTCTGTTACTTATTTTCTTACTTCCTAAGATTAGGAACAAAGCAGTATGTTAATTTCCCTTTTAAATTTTTAAGCTAATATTTATCTCTGAATGTGAAAACTGATAACCAGAAAGAAAAAATTCACTGCAAAAAATTTCCTTTAATTATCTCAGTAAGTAGGAATAGTCTCAAATATGCTGAAGGAGTGGCAGCTGAGGAGAGCTGTCACTGATAGTTCTCATATAGCACATATCCTCGCTGGTACCCATGAGCTGGATGGTGACTCCATTGCCTGATGGGCTTCTTCAAGGTGTTGACAGAAATATGCAACTTCTTCAGATAAATTCTGGCCAGTGGCCATGCTTTACTTAGAAAATGCCAGGAGTGGATTTAGTTCTTTAGGAAGGATGGAAGTGAAATGACCCACAAAACAGCATCAGCTTTCAGAATCCCATTGCTTCTGGTATTTTTACTGAAGGAGCACTGCTTTCTGGACACTTATAGGCATCAAGCAATGACTAAACTTCTGACTCTTGGATTCAGTTTAAATACAGAATGCATGCAGAGTGCTTCATAGAGGTTTCGGGATTTTTGTGGTACATGTGCTCTGCAGGTCATTAGGACAACATGATCCAGAGAGTATAAGACCAAAATAGGAAATATTTTTACTTCCTATAATTTTTAGTGAAATACATAAAAAGAAATAAATTACAAACTTCTAAAAATAAAACATGTTTGCATGTGCCTCTATTTCTGACAAAAGGAAAACAGCCTATGCGTTATGACTATATATAATGCTTTAAATTTTTTGTTGAGAGTTCTGTAATTTAAGTTCACAGGAAGATTACAGGTAATTTCTGTAGTTGACTTAGAACTATTCCAGTTTAAATAACCTGAATATTTGTCATCTGCAATTTTGAGAGTATAGCTTATGCTACACATTTGCCAGTAGGGAGTTCCCAGGACCACAAAATTGTCTTTTTGCCATATACTACAAGTGTGAATTTCATGAAGTGGTCTGTAGCTTTGTGGAAACTAGGGCAAGCTCTGTACGTGTAGAGCATGTCAGGTAATTAATCAATTTTTTTTTTTTTTTTATGCTAGAAATTAACACATTTGTTCTGTGGTGGATGTTTTTCTGAGATTTCAGTGAAATCTCTAACAGAGTTGCTTATCTGTTGTTTCACCTACAGGTACATTTATGTTCCAATGGGAGGATCTCAGTCCAGTTTGCTTGGAATGCTATTTTCTACAGCCCTCACTTTTGCCTTTGTAAGCTATTGGCACGGAGGACAGAGTTATTTGTGGTACTGGGGCGCACTTAATTGGTTTGGAGTAATTGTGGAAAATGGCATCAAGAGGATACTTTCTATTTCACTTATTCAAGATTTAATTGTAAGTTGAATCTCTCTTTATTTCATGTTCTTGCTTCCTGGCTCTGTGCTCATCTGAAGCTGCTGGTTACTAGTTTGGTTTAACCAAGATTAAAAGTCATGGATAACAGATAAAAGAGTTAGCACTCCCTTGCCCACCCTCCATTCCAACTGGAATTTTGCACAGTATCAGTAAAGCAAACAGTGGAAATATGCGTGGTCTTAAAAGCTTCCTCTGCAATCCTAGAGTAAGCAAATGCTTGTCACGTAGTATATGGCTGAACAGAAGCCAGTTTTAACATTTGTATTCTGATTTCACTCAGGATGGCCTTAAAATATTCATCTTCACTAAAATTAGGAGTGTATATTTCTAACCATGTGTTTCCTGGACAAATGAGCATGTAGCAGCTGCTTGCATCTGGGAACAAGCTTACACTGGGAAATGTTATGCTTTTAAAGATCCAAGTAAAGAAAGTATTATTTTGCCTTGAAGTCCTCTGATATTTTCACTTTGCTGATACTTTTGACCTTCGTGCTGTCATTTGCAAAGGACAAAATTGGCTTTGACGTGCAATCATATGCAAAAAGCACTATTTTAAATTTTAAAATATTTTTAATGACTATTTTTTAATGTTGATGGTCATTTTAATCTGCAGGTTTGCTCTCTACTTAATCCCAAATCTTCTAATAACTGTTTTTAAGAATAAATAATTCGTATGCCTTTCTTCCTTGCTGTGATAAGGCACAGAATTTTTACTCCTATATAATCTTGTTTTAGTAGAGACTCACTCCCCATTTTGATAGAATCTTGATGCTCAAGTAATGATGCTTGTTTTCCATCCCAGCCATTTCAGTTTTCACTGTTGTAGCATCCCATGTGCGGCAGCTGATGCAGCTCAGCAATTTAGGAACCAATAACAGCCAGTGCTACCTTATATCACCCAGTTGTCCATCACTGCAATTTCAGTGATAGTCTGGAAGCAGCTTTTTGCTTTCCTAGAGAAGGAGTTTATCAGCTCCGTTAATCTTCCCTCTAGGGTGTAACTGAGCTTCACCATCTGATCAGCTGCATTTGTTTGTCTCTAGGCTGGAAGACAGTATAGCTTTTTAGGCATCCAGCTGTATGTGGAAATTTAAGTGTAGGGGCTTTTTATATCTGATGTCACTATAGTAGAAATTCTAAAAGAACTCTTAAGGAATTAGGTGCTTAAATATCACAAAAATTATAATGGCTATGGCATTTGACCTCATCACTCTCTTCAACTACCTGAAGGGAGGTTATAGCCAGGTGGGGGTTGGTCTCTTCTCCCAGGCAACCAACAATAGGACAAGGGGACATGGGCTCAAGCTCTGCCAGGGGAGGTTTAGGTTAGATGTTAGGAAGAAATTCTTTACAGAGAGGGTAATCAGGCATTGGAACGGCCTACCCAGAGAGGTGGTGGATTCACCATCCCTGGAGGTTTTTAAGCAGAGATTGGATGTGGCCCTTAGTGCCATGATATAGTAATTGGAGTTGGATCAGGGGTTGGACTTGATGATCTTGGAGGTCTTTTCCAACCCAATCTATTCTGTGATTCTATGATTTTATGAAGGTGGTTTTTTTTTATGTTGGATTAATTTCTAACATGTAATTCTAATTATAGTTAACTGATTCTGGCACTAGGGTTCTTTTTTGCATAAATGAACTCCCTAACTATGAACCAAGTGCATTTTACTCTCTTTCCTGCTCTTTGTTTTCATCCAGTGTTTTTATTGGCCTATCTAGTGTCTTCCATGTTTCCTTTGTTGTTCATTTCTGTTTGGAAACATAGTTGTAGACCTTCCTTAGAAGACACTTTCACATCTTTCCCTGAAATATTGAAGCCAATATTTTTAATATGAATAGTTTTGACATCTAAATTGGTGCCTTAGACAGATCTTGCTGTATTCAGTAATGGCTGAGTCATGATTTGCTCTGTGCCTAGAAGGTTTCTCTACAATGACGTGAGCTACAGTCTTTGCAAACCACTCCTTATTGCTCTTTACTCGCTCTTCTAACTAACTGCCATTTTCTTCCTGAATGCTGAGACTGGGGAGCAGATGAGTAGTTGGATTTTGACATTTCCTTATCAAGGGGTGGAATGATATGACATTCTCTGAGATGTACCACATTTGAAAGAAACTGAAAATTTCTTAACGCCCTGTATAAATGTCCCCCATGTAATCTGGCTTTCGGAAATATTCCAATAATCCTGTCTTGGTGAGAGGTGTGCTGCAAGCCTAGTCACTGTGGTGCTGAAGACTCCCTTCTGGGGGCTGGGTTTTTCACTTAAATGTCATCTGTTGACAAGCTGAAATCCTTTGCATTCTTGTGCTTCACTCAGTGCCTGTGTTGGCTCTTGAGGGCTATTTTTGAGAAGGAAAGTTTATTTTTGTCCCCAGAATAGCAGATGAGTTTCTGAAAATACACAAAGCGCAGGTTTATGCTTTTTTTTAACCCATTCTGTTTACCAAACATCCTCATATATTATTGTTAAATGGAGTTACATAGTTCAGTTGAGCAGGAAGTGTTTGATTATTAAAATATATAAAAATCTAGACGTGTAAGTTAAATTTTAATTATTTTCTGTTTTTAAGATGGAATTAATGACAAACAGTAACAAAAATGGTATCAAAACTACCTCCTCCCCTCCCCCCCCCCAGTATATTGTCTCAATTCTCTTGCAAAGGGAAGATTTGGAAATCTAAATAAAGCACAGTCAAGTCTCATCCTTCACTGAATTCTTGTGCTGACTAGATATATATATATATATAAAGACCCTATATTTATGCAGATTTTATGGTAGTTTCAGTCTCAACACTTCAAACCTAGTGTAATTTGAGGAAATAACACTTTTGTAGCAGACTGACAGGTTTTAAATGTCATCTCAGGCATATTGAGCTAGAACGAACAAAGAAGCATGGGCGTTATTTGTGATAAGTAAAATCAGCATATAAAGAAATATTTACTGAAAACAGTAAATTTCCTGACCCAAAAAAATTGGTTCTGAAACTTTTAATTTATACTGGTTTCAAACCAGTGTGTGGCTTCCTGATTTCAGCTTTGAAAGAGCTGATGCTCCTTATGTACTTTTCAGCTTACACTGTTCTGAACTTTCATGTTTCAGTAAGCTGTGTTATGAGAAGTTGTCTACATATCTTTTTTCCCCCTAGAAATTGCGTGTTAGTTATCAGTAAGTGAGAGCTGAATTAATTAATACTGCCTTTTCAGCAAAGCATTACATATAAAACGACAAGAAATGCTATGCATCATAAGCTAGGGCTTATCTGGGAACTTTATATTAAACAAGAGAAGTTCCATTGTGTTTCTATCAGGCTTTCTTTTGTTTGGTTTTGTTTTGTTTGTTGGTGGTTTTTTGTTTGTTTGTTTTTTGTTTGGTTTTTTATTTTATTTTTTCAAATGATATTTATACCTGTATTGAGCAAAGTAGTGCTTTGCTTCACTGATTCTATATTAACTCCTTACAGATGAACAGACACTCCAGCGGTAACTCATTTAAAATCAGTGATAGAATTTGTATTGACTTTTAATAAATAATGTGCCAGATTTCTGAAAGAAAATGCTAATAACTATCATTCTTGCAGTGTTTTAAATTTTTTTCCTTAAGGAAAATGAGATACAGATCTATTAAAAAAATTAGATCTTGGTATAAAAATAAATTTAGAATGATTTAAACCTTAGAATAGTTGGCAACACCTTTAAATCAATGGATTTTTGTAAAAGAAATATTTGGAAATCATCCAAAAGGAAGATGTAGCAAGGGGGGATGAAGTTGGCAGATGGATAAAAACAATGTTTTAATCCAAATTGAAACAGCAACATTTATCTTTTCAGTTCTTTCTTAAAGTGAAAACATGTCGTTCAGTTGAGTAAGATTTCTTTTTTAATCGAGTCATAAAGGTCTCTCTTTTAATAATAATACTATGATGAAATTTTAGTTTAAGTTCTTATTTCTAGATTTATTTAGTAAGAAACTAAATATGCCATAAACAATTCATTTTGAGAAACTAACTGATTTTAAGCCTGGCTTGTTTTAAAGTAATTTGTACAATTCTTGTAAGTGTTTTGTTTTTTTTAAAGTATAAAATACTTTGATTTCTACATTTTTTATTTATGGCTGTAATGAGGTGCACTTATTAATTCTATTTCAGTATGGTGAAATTTCCTACAAAACCCCTCTTTGAAAAAGGGAAAATATTTTGTATAATGTCCATGTTTCTGATTAGTGTGATTAGAGTGTTAGGTTGTCTTTTTCATCAGAAGAATAAACTCCATACATTTGTCTCTACAGTTAAAATATCTCCATTGTGGTACATCCGACAGTTGGTATCCTCAGCTTTGCAGAGAGCAGAATTTTAGATGGCTTTCAGAGTTGAGGTGTGGTGAGGGGGCATAAAAATCTCTACAGTTGTTCCTAATAAGTTACGCATTTTACAGTGGTCCGGCAGACAGCTGATGTGGGGCATGGAAAGGTTCTGACTGGTGAGCTTGACCTCTGTGGTTCGAAAAGGAATTAGCAGATCTAACAGCTCACTGCTATTGAAGAGGGAAAGGTTGAATTTCTCTTTCCTCCCTTCCTTGCAGTCTTGCCACTTCCTCCTCCACACGCCTTCCTGCTGGAATCTTTCCTGAGCTGACTTAGCTCTTTACCCCAGCAGAAAGCTTTACTTCCTCTGGTTACTTTATTGCTAGATGATTTGACTAATGAAGAGGAATCTGAAAAGCACACGAAGCATTACAGTGTAAGAGCCAAAAACCAAGGAGAAGAAGTGGAAGGGAAGGAGCTTGACTACTTGGAACCTCCCCCTTGCAAATGTACCTAAATAGTACCGGGGAGTAGATTGAGCCTCTGTGTTTAAAGGCAGTGGGACAAGGAAAACAATTAGGTTCCACTGCAGTAATTATTCAGCCTAAATTCAACCTAACCAAGATCAAGATTCCTGTGAATTTCACAGCCACTGAGCAAATTCCTTTAATGACAG